TATGACATTAACTGTGAGAGTGGAGTGTTCAGTATTTTAAGCAGTGATTAATTTCTTAGGAGAGAAGGGTTTATGCTTACAGTTCTTAGTGGTCAAAGATGGTTACTGAATTATATTTGACAACTGACTTTACTTTGTTGGTAAAGCTGGTGGACGGGCTCTGTAGAAATTGATTGTGAGGGTTCCATTAAACTCAAGAACAAATTCAGAGCATGATTGGCAGTGCTGCTGTAGGAAGATGGGATGTCTCTACCACTTTGAGAATTTTAATAAGCTAAAGAAAAGAGGTCATTGTAATAATTGATTGTTGTCAGTCAGAAAAGAGGGTAAGCATGTAGGAGTGAATCACATCCTTGTAAAAGCATTCACACTTCAATGGTTCTCAGTTTGAGCAATTCAGTTATCTGAAATTACTATATCTACCACTTAGAGGCTCTTCATCTCACCAACCCCTTTTCTTAACTCTTACTATTATTTGCCATTTACGTCATCAGTGGTAACTTAAGGCTTGACACTTTTGGAAGTGCCACATCTATACTGCATTTAGTTAATTGGTTACTAATGGGCTGGGAAATTATGAATATTTGTTCCTTTTCTGGCTTGTAATGGGGTTATTTTAAAGATCATTTATCTGTAAGTATGGTATCAGTTTTTCCAATTGGTTGGGTTATTGGAGTGACAAGTAATTTGGTTCTATACCCTTGGGAATAATAATGTGCTATATGAGATTTTCCCAATGATAAAAGGAACTTTCTTAGTATTCAAACTATTCTGTCTATCTAGGAGTTTGTAGTTGTTATTATGGTTACTGTTATGATTTTAAATGTTAAATTTACTTTAGGGTAAACTGAAACCATAGTTTTTCCCTCACATCCCAGCCATTCGGGCAGATTCACCAAAGAAAATGATCTGTGGGAAGTGCAATTCTTAAAGCTTTTCAGGCTGTCCTGTTCAGTTCCTTTCATTTCACATCTTGGAATTTTGTAGAGGATGAAAGGAACAAGTATAGGATTCAAACCTATAAAACGTTTAACTTTGCTGCCATCTAGAGGCAGGTTTTTCATAATGCGATCTTCAATAAACCCAAATGCTGCTTCCAAAGCCGTGGAATAAAAAGGAAAAGGTGGATTGTTTTTTGTATATAATTCTTATGTGCCTTCTATTGGATTGTACATTTCCTAGCAGGTGCTCAGCGTGCTTTATGAGATTAAAAGAAATTTGTCTGCTACTAAGTGAATCTGAATTCTGCTAGAAGCTGCCAATGGGTTTATTTTCCTCTTGACTGAAGTTGGCTGCGTATAAAATGCTAAGGATATGGAATAATCTGAATAAGATGAGGGTACCAGGATCTTACTTTTTAGAACATGACTAAGAATTTAAAAGCAGAGTTTAGTGGGAAATATTGGTTTACCAAAATCAGTGTGAAAATACGTCCATAAGAGTTTTGGTTAGGGTGACCCACATGTGGTTCAGTGAATCTGCAATCATGCAGCAGCCCTTCGCATGAGGGAGCGTCTCACAGGTAGTTCCCTGGAGCGCACCCAGCATCTTCTCCAGATGTCTAGTCTTTTGAAATAGAATACACATTGACATTCCTTATCCAAAATGTTTAGGACTAGAAGTGTTTCCTATTTTTTTCATATTTTCGGATATTTGCATATACATAATGAGCTATCTTGGGAATTGGACCCAAGTCTGAACATGAAAGTCATTATGTTTCCTATACACCTCATACACATAGCCTGAGGATAATTTTATTTTATACAATATTCTTAATAATTTTGTGCATGAAGCACAATTTGTATATATTGAACCACCAGAAAGCAAAAGTATCAGGTGTGGAATTTTTCACTTGTGGTATCATGACAGTGCTCTAAAAATTTTGGATTTTGGAGTGTTTTGAATTTCATGTTTTCAGATTAGTATTAGTACTTTAGGGCTGGAGCATCAAGCCATGGCATAGAAATTTAAATGTATTGGAAACTTCTGTGGCCAAAGAATCATAATTGACCATTTGTTAGAATTTTTAGCAGTGTTCTGGGTGTGGTTTGGAATGGTTTACTTCATGCTTCTGAAAACATCAGTGTGCTTTGTCTTTTTTCCGTGTTCTAGAAACCAAGAATATTAGAAAAGATGGATCTCAGGGGATTCATTGTTTTATAGAAGATTTATCACAGATATTCTTAAAATCTTCTTTACAAGTTTAATTAACTTTTATACTGATGATGCTTTTAAAGCAGCACCTGCTTTGTATCGCATCCAGTTTGTGACAAGACAGTTTAATTGTGGATTAATTATAAATGGTAAAACATGAAACAATACTTCCTTAGCAACTTCATAAACTGTTAGTTGGATGTTTAGAAGACTACTGTTATATATATATATATTTCAAAAGTATTTTCTTTTCTCTCTGAAAAGCTCTAAATCTATATATGCAAACTTTTATTAAAGGTATTTTTTAATCCAATTTAAGCTGCAGTTTTGTTTATGCTATATTATATGCATTCAGGTAGACTATGTATTTTATTGGATAACTTGATATAGCATCATTGTAATCTATTGAATATTTAGGTTTGATAGTATTAGATGACATAAAACTGACAGTGTAAAATATTTATAAAAGGGCAAATGCTACATTTTGGTGAACTATCAGAACTGTTTGAACAAGAGAAAAAAAGTCCTTAACATATAACAACAAAAATGGCTTGAAAATGTTTTCTGAAATGAACATGACTTTGTTTGTAGGAAGAAAAGCATGAGGTCATTGTTTTCAGATAGAACCAGTGTTTATCTGTTGGAAATCATAGCACATGTGCCTGATGCTTAGCTGAATCCTCCCTGCCTACGCAGACAGAAGAGGTGGCTGCATATTATTTACATGAGAAAATGGTTTCAAATTGTGTTTCTTCCTTAATTTAAAATAATAAGTTACAGATAAGTTATGAGTGACTTTTCAAAAATGTTTTCTAACTTTATCGCAGGAAGAGGTTGTGGGAAAGATTAGGTTAGTATACAAGTCTGTGAAATAAAATCCCTGTGAATGAAATGAAAATGCTTAAATAATTTTTTTCCAATATAATGTTCCATATAACCTGTGTCCTATAATTCCATGGAGAGCCTGTCTTAATTTATGGATAAAAACAGAAATACACGTATGAATTTGAGATTAGAAGGTTAGGATCATAGAAATTATGACTTTGTAAAGATTTTACTTTCTCAGAAATGAAAGACCTGTGTTATCTATTTCAGTGATTTTGCTCACCAATTCCCTGAGTTCTTCCAATTCCTTTGCTAAAATGTTGTCTATTCAATACTCAACTCAGTACTGCCACCTTGTGATGCTTTTTCTTAATTTCATCTGGCCAAATTCCCATTCCTTCCCTTGGTTACTTCTTATCTGTGATTTACTGGTTTGCTCTTCCTTACATCGCACATCTTTTATCCCCTTGTTTCGATTAGAAGTTCTTGCAGGGTGGGATCTATGCTATTATACTTTAGTCATTATCTTAGTGGTCTCTTCTGGATATTTCTTCAATGCATTTGAATAGCAGAATAGTTAACATGACAAATGTCCTTGATCAGCCTCAAAAGTTAAATTACTGTCTACCAAAAGGGAAATAAAAATCCTTTTGTGGTTTCTGTTTTATAATTGTAAATCTATTGCCTGCCTTGCCAAAGCCATTGAAAATGTATTAGTTTGAGGAATTATAATGAAATATAATTTTCTCCCTATTTTATATCATTAAATGATCATTAAAACACATTTTCATGGTTCTTTATCTCTTTATCTTTGCAGCTTTTGTCATTTCTTCAGGGCTTATTTACTTTTTACCACGAGGGATATGAACTTGCCCAGGAATTTGCACCGTATAAGCAACAGCTGCAGTTCAACTTGCAGAATGTAAGAGTATACCTGTTCTTACTGTGTCTCAGCAAATCTGCAAATCTCATTTCACAGGGCAACTAAGTTATAACCAAGTTAAACCTTGGAATCTTTCAAATACTTGCCTAAGTACAGTAAAATTCAAGAATTAAGAAAAACCACTTTATAAATGTATTACAATTTTTTTCTAGCTGCTAGTGGAAAATACACCCCACAAAACCCTAATCTTAGTTAGAAAAATTTATACTAGCAAATTTTATAAAAATATTACCCAGTTGGAGACACCTGAAAGTTTATTAACTTTTGCCTTCATCCAGCATTCCTACTAATTTACTGGGTGATGCAGGATGGATAACTTTGGAGAGCTAATTTGCAGTATGGTGGCTATAGTTAATAATACTGTATTGAATACTTGAAATTTATTAAGAGTTTAGGTCTTAAATGTTCTCAACATACACAGATGGTAACTATGTGGTGATTGATATATTAATTAACTCGATTGTGGTAATTTCATAATGTATAAATGTGTTAAAACATCACATTGTTCATGTTAACTATACAATTTTTATTTGTCAATTATACCTCAAGAAAACTAGAAAAGAAAATACTGGAAATAAGAAAACAAGACCTTAGAGAAGTCTTTTTTTTTTAAGATGGAGTTTTGCTCGTCACCCAGGCTAGAGTGCAATGGCACGATCTTGGCTCACTGCAACCTCCGCCTCCTGGGTTCAAGCGATTCTCCTGCCTCAGCGTCCCAAATAGCTGGGATTACAGGCATGCACCACTACACCTGGCTAATTTTGTATTTTTAGTAGAGGCAGGGTTTCACCATGTTGGTCAGGTTGGTCTCGAACTCCCGACCTCAGGTGGCCCACCCGCCGCGGCCTCCCAAGTGCTGAGATTACAGGTGTGACCCACCGTGCCTAGCCTGAGAAGTCTCATTTTTAAGAGAGCAAAATTTCTTTATTTGTGAAATGAAGGATTGTACTTTAACAACAAAGATCTCATCTTTCTCTGAAATTGAATATAAAATATGTGCTGTTTATTATTTTCAAATAACAGGTTTGAATGTGGTTTTGAGGCATTCAAAATAACTGCTTTAAGACATAAGCGAGAGATCCTTTTACGGTTCATGGGCATGGTGTCCGGGTGTTCACGCACATGTGTGAGACATGCCACCCTCTGAACCTTGTTACAATCCCAGCACGTTACCCGTCTAATCTGAAAAAAAAAATAAGAAAAAATAAATACAAAATAAAAAAATTTTTTAAAGTGAGAATTATTTCCATACAGATCATCTATTTCTCTCAGAATTTATTTTGTAAAGTAGTCTAATCAGTCCTTTTAGTCTCTGATTGCATCATTATACAAATTCTGATGTTCAAATGCTGAGCAACACTTGCATTGACATAAAAACACACCCAAAAGTTGGGCCAACCCATTTCACATTATCAAACTTGACGAATAATGATGTCCTAATTGTTGAGGTTTTACTATAACTGAAACCCTGACTGCCAAGTACTATATAGCCCAAATCATTTGGAAAACCTTTGCTTAATTTTCTACAAAGTGTGTGTTTTTCTGCTTATCTGGTTCTTGCCGTTGTGGAAACATCCAGTAAATAAAACTACAGAGTTAGAATGTCCCATAAGAAATGTGTAAGGGGATTTATTCCCTTGTGTTTTGAGTTTTAGCTTTTATTTAACGTAGATTTTCTAGCAGAATCAATTTCACCTTTGATTCATTCTATTGTTTTTCCATATGGAAAGTATTTAGGCTTTTACAGTTACTATTAAAAGGGAAAATTATAAAAGCTGAAGTATCTTTATGATTTACTTCCACATTAAATAAAATTACATTAAGATTCCTAGGATTCAGGAATAGGAGAGAGGTAAGGAATTGGGGGGAAAAAAATAGACCCTTATGTTTGAAAGACAAAAATAATGAAAGTGACAAGAAAATTTTGCTCATTTTGAGATTTTTTTTTTTCAATGAGGCATGAACTCCTTAGAGTTAGGTGATGGTGATTATTGTATCTTCAGAAGCATATTTTTGAGGTAATGCAAAAGGGGTATTCATAGAGAAAAGCCTGATTCTTCCTATAGCTTAAGTAAACTTGATATAAAGTGAGTAATCTATTTCTTGCCACAGAAGAAGTTAGAACTTGGAAACCTGTTGATTTTTATGAGTTAATTTATACACTCACCTCTTAATAATACCTGTGCTAGTAAATAAAGCTACATGATGTTTCTTTGAAAATAGCCTTTGGAACTGTGGTGACAAACTTTTTTTCTTGACTTGTTCAATGCCACATGTATCAAAAGTGTATGAACTTATTTTGTTTTTTCCCTTAAAAGAAACCAAGTCCCTATATATCTGTTTTTTACCTTAGGTATTTAGGGAATTCAAATTTTACGTAGTGCATCCTATATTTTTTAAATTGCCATAGTTTACCCTCTAAGTAATAATGTTGGAGTGTGAAAATAGGAAGAAAGTCTCACACACACACACACACACACACAGAGATTCAAACAGAAACATGCGGAAGGTCATTCAGAGAAGTTTTCACTAAATCGGTTCAAAATCAGACCTTGGGACCCAACGTCACAAAGATATAGATGTGGTGAATACTGTCAAAAGAATCAAGGTCATCTTTGTACGATTTGCAGTTTTGAAACATTTTTCTGGGCCAGTCAGGTGGTTCACACCTGTAATCCCAGCACTTTGGGAGGCAAACACATCGCTGAGCCCAGGAATTTGAGACCAGCCTGGGAAACATAGTGACACCCCATCTCTACAAAACATTAGCCAGGTGTGATGGTGTGTGCCTGTAGTCCCAGCTGCTTGTGGGGACTGAGGCAGGAGGATCACTTGAGCCCAGGAGGTCAAGGTTGCAGTGAGCCATGATCGCACCTGGGTGACAGAGTGATACTCTGTCTCAAAAATAAATAAATAAAAACTAAAAATATTAGTCTGGGTGTTTCTGAAACTTGGTAGAAAACAATGACTGAAATTATTGTTTCTATTTACTTAAGACGAGGAATAATTTTGAAAGTACTCGACAAGAGGTAGAGCGGTTGATGCAAAGGATGAAATCTGCCAACCAGGACTACAGACCACCCAGCCAGTGGACGATGGAAGGCTATCTGTATGTCCAGGAGAAACGTGAGTCACAAAGACATAACTTCACGCCTGTTATGACTTAGCCATCTATGAATATTTCCATGAGATGTGACTTGGTTAGTAGTATTTCCTTCAAGTAGGAGGACTGAAATTTCTTACAGCTTTATATCTACTTTCCCCCCAACCACGACCAAAGTGAGGAAGCTTTTCCACATTTTGCCATCAGGATGTCTAAGTTGGCATATTGTTGAACTTGGAACTTACAGTCTTCACTCATACCATAACATGAGTTCCGTTTTAGCATTTAATTGTGATACTTAATCTCAACTTAAAGTTTCATGGAAAATTGCAAACCGAAGCCTTTATTGGGATGAATCATCCTGGTGACTGTGATAATAGTTTTACCCTCTGTTGGCATTATTTTATTTAATTTTGTGCCCTGTCAGTTTTCAGGTGTAAAATTGGTAATCATGGTAATGTCAAATTGGCACTCTTTACTTCTTGAGGTTTGGAAATAAGTACCAAAGCCAATAGAGCATGATTATAATTGCCTCTCACTGAGGACATTTTTCTCTCAAAAATATTAAAAAGCCATTCAGACTTGTATAACTGGAGTTTTTTTGTGCCTGTTACTTGTCATTAAGTCGAACTAGTTGGACTATTTTGACTACATTAACACTTTCAAACCGGATATGCCCTAAGGCATCATTCTTGTGCTGTTTTTGGTGAAGAAACAGTTGTGTGTGTTTCCAGCCCATCGTGGACCAATGTGAAAGGCTTTTGATACACTGTATGTGCAACATGATTAAGTGATGCTCATGTGTTGGAGAGCAGGACACACACAAATTTGATTTGATCCAGCAGACTCTGCAAACATTTATTACTGCATGGACTTGATGATAGAGGAACGCCGGTTCAAGAGATCTGGGTTTTAGGATTTTTCTCTCTCATAACTATCTACCTTGGCCAGTCTACTGTTTTCATATCTAAACATGATAAAACTGGTGATCTGCCTAGGTACTCTATAATTAGTGCATAATAAGTAGCTTTTACCCTCCCCCAGTTCATGAAAAATTACCAGTCCCTTGGCTTGTCAGTAGGGTATATAGATTTCATTTAGGACTCTAAGGAAATTTTTATTCTTTTTTTTTTAATTGTTATGTTTTTTACTCAAGCCTCGAAAGGACTCTAAGGAAATTTTTGAATATTTATTTGAAATGATTTTGTCCAGGTTCGAGAGCCTTCATGTGACAGTACATTGAAAGGAGCTCACATTTCTACCAATAAAATGTTTGGCCACTGGAAGAATTTGTTGCCAGTGAGGGAAGTAAACATGCAAGTGATAGAGGAGGTGCCATGCTTGGATTTTGTATTCATTGTGATCTGATTATATTTTGTTTCTTGAATATTTTTCTAGGTGTTACACACTTGCTGAAATCTTTGTGGGCACACAATATTTTATCCTAAACAAAAAACCTTTAGATTAGCTTACAATATTATTTTGTACATAATCTTCAAATATATCATATTCGGTCCTACTTGGTAGTGAGTGCACCCACTGGGTGGAACCATGGTTTGCCTACCTATTGTCAAGCTCTTGGACATTTGGGTCAGTCTATAAGCATAGGCCCTTCAATAATTTGGGGGTTACATGGATGGACTAAGCACAGTGTTTTATGCACTTACCTGATGTTGGTATCTTTTGTTCTAAGATGCTTAACTTCTCTGGGTCATTCTAGACCGATGATAAAGCCCTTTGTGGTACTGACCTCTCCTCTGAGTTTTTTTTTTTAAATTTCTCGTAATGGCACCACCCACTCTCGTAGGCTGCAGAAGTCAAGGCAATCCATCCTTAGCACCAGTGTCTCTCTGTAGCCTTGGGACAAATCTGTCTATTCTGTTTTCTCGATATCCTTTGATTCCATACCTTCTCTCTATCTCCACTGCCTTCGCCCAGGCGAGACCCTTGCAGTGACCTCCTAACTGTTCCCCCTTTGCCTCCAGGCTTGCACATCATCTAATGCATCTTCTACAGTGCTTCCAGCAGATCCTTCTAAAAGGCTTCTTCGGTTATGCCCCTGTTGTGATGGACCCTTAGCAGTGTCTGAATTGGAGGGTCTCACAGTTCAATTCTCCTTATTAACACTCTCTTTGTTGATATTTTTCCTCCCCCAAGACAATTTCCATCTTGATTTGATCTGTATCTGCCTGTATTATTTTATAGCTTTATTGGGTCTAATTGGCATAAATTAATTGCGCCTGTTTAAGACATTTTTTGATAAATTTTGCCATATGCATGCACCTGTGAAGCCATCACTACACTACAACATAATGAACACATTCATCACCTTCAGAAATTCTCTCTTGCCTCATTATAATCTCTTCCTCCTGTCTTTTCCCACCTATCATATTCCCCTATTCCCTTTGCCAAGGGATCTAAAGAAAAAGGAATATATTTATATGCTTTTGGAATTACTTTTATATGAGGAGCAAATACCCAAAGCCCCTTCTCACTTGGGATCTTTGAAAGTGTTTACATTAAAAACAATCTAACCAGTTTACTAAGATGTATCGATTGTGCACTTGCTATCACTGGGTAGATAAGTTCTTGTGGGGGACAAAAATGAGATAAATACTTGACTTCAAGTTTTTATTCTGTAGTTGAAAGCATAAGACACACTTACACAATTAGCAGCCAGTGATCAATGTCAAATAAATATCAAAGCCATAAATTGAGTGATAAATGGAGATGGATGTGATGGGGTAGGCTTAACTCACTGTTTAGACAGAGTTCAACTCTACCCGAATATGGGGTGTTTATGTTATCCACCTCAAGGCATGCATTAAATCACATTCTGCTAGACTTCAGAGTAACCGAAAGAGCCAGGGGTTCCAGAGTAAGAGCCATACTGAAATTCTGTGCCTGTGCTGACCTGTGACTTGTGCCAATAGTTTTCTGAGCTCAGTCTCTCTTCATTTATAAAAGAGGAATTTAAACCCCTGTCATAATATTGCAAGAATTAGAGATATCATATGTAAAATGTCTCTATTCTTGGTAGTGTCAATAATAATAATACTGTGCTTACTGTGGGCTCTTAC